TCTCCCTCGGCGCTCTCGTATTCTCTCCCACTGCGCTCTCATATTCTCTCCCACGGCTCTCTCATATTCTCTCCCACGGCGCTCTCATATTCTCTCCCACGGCGCTCTCACATTCTCTCCCACGGCGCTCACACATTTCTCCCACGGCGCTCTCACATTCTCTCCCACGACGCTCTCATATTATCTCCCACGGCGCTCTCATATTCTCTCCCACGGCGCTCTCATATTCTCTACCCCGTCGCCATCGCATTCCCTCACACTCAATCCCATTTCCACGTAACGACCCATCCCCAGCGCCCTCCCATTCTCTACCCCATCGCCATCACAATCCCCTCCAGATTGCCCCACCTATCATCCCCCCCGTCCCCCTCCCACCTTCCCCCCATCCCCGTCCCTTCTTCCCCCCATCTCCTTCCCAGCTTCCCCCATCTCCTTTCCCACGTCCCCCCATCCCCGTCCCCGCTCCTTCCCATCTCCTTCTCTGCTCCCCACCATCCCCTTCCCTGCTTCCCCCCATCCCCTTCCCTGCTTCCCCCCGCCCCCATCCCTCCTTCGCTCGCCCCATTTTCCCCCTGCTCAGTTTTGACCGCCCTGCACTCTCTTCCCCAGTCTTCCATACCATTTCCCCCCTCTCTCTCTCTCCTCCTCTCTCTCTCTCTCTCTCTCTCTCTCTCTCTCTCTCTCTCTCTCTCTCTCTCTCTCTCTCTCTCTCTCTCTTTTCCCCGTCTTTCATCCCTTTCCCCCCCTGCTCACTCCATTATCCCCCACTCTCACCCCATCTCCCCCCGCTCACTCTCACTCTCATGCTCACTCCCTTCCGTCGCCCACACTCACCCTCCTCCCTTCGCCTTCGCACACTCTCTCTCGTCCCCTTTCCCACTTCTCATCTCCACCCTTTCTCCATTATCATCTCCATCCTTTAAACCCTCAGGCTAGAGTTAGAGTCAGCGCATCCAGCGTACGACAAGGCAGCGGTTAATTTTCAGGTGCAGCGCCATCCCTCACCTCCCCACAATGTGCTCTTGATATCCTGCCTTTGCCGCCTACCTCACCTATCCCCCCCTTTTTCCCCTCTATTTCTTCCCTGCTTCCCCTCGTTTGCCCCCTGGTTTCCCTGTCTTCCCCCCTGGTTCCACTGTTTCCTCCCCCTGTGTTCCGTCTTTCCTCCCCCCGTGTCCCCTGTTTCCTCCCTCTGGTTCACCTGTTTCCTCCCCTGGTTTCACTGTTTCCCCCCCCCTGTGTTCCCTGTTTCCTCCCCCTCGTTTCCCTGTTTCCTCCCCCTCGTTTCCCTGTTTCCTCCCCCTCGTTTCATTGTTCCCTCCCCCTCGTTCCCTCGTTTCCTACCCCTCGTTCCCCTGTTTCCTCCCCCGGTGTCCCCTGTTTCCTCCCCCTGCTGGCCCTGTTTCCCCCCCTGGTTCCCCTGTTTCCTCCCTCTGTTTCCCCTGTTTCCTCCCCCTCATTCCCCTGTTGCCTCCCCGCGGTTCCCTTGTTTTCTCCCCTGCTTTCCTTCCACGCTGTCTAGGCCAGCATCCTTCCCGCGTACCCTCACCTCCCTGTTCCACTCTCTTCTTACCGCCTCCTCCTGCTCCTCCTCCCATATTCACCATCCCATTTCCCCATCCAGTCGCCGCATCCAGTCGCCCGCATTTCCCCATCCAGTCGCCCGCATTTCCCCTTCCAGTCGCCCGCATTTCCCCATCCAGTCGCCCGCATTTCCCCTTCCAGTCGCCCGCATTTCCCCATCCAGTCGCCCGCATTTCCCCATCCAGTCGCCCGCATTTCCCCATCCAGTCGCCCGCATTTCCCCATCCAGTCGCCCGCATTTCCCCATCCAGTCGCCCGCATTTCCCCATCCAGTCGCCCGCATTTCCCCTTCCAGTCGCCCGCATTTCCCCATCCAGTCGCCCGCATTTCCCCATCCAGTCGCCCGCATTTCCCCATCCAGTCGCCCGCATTTCCCCTTCCAGTCGCCCGCATTTCCCCATCCAGTCGCCCGCATTTCCCCATCCAGTCGCCCGCATTTCCCCATCCAGTCGCCCGCATTTCCCCATCCAGTCGCCCGCATTTCCCCATCCAGTCGCCCGCATTTCCCCTTCCAGTCGCCCGCATTTCCCCATCCAGTCGCCCGCATTTCCCCATCCAGTCGCCCGCATTTCCCCATCCAGTCGCCCGCATTTCCCCATCCAGTCGCCCGCATTTCCCCATCCAGTCGCCCGCATTTCCCCATCCAGTCGCCCGCATTTCCCCATCCAGTCGCCCGCATTTCCCCATCCAGTCGCCCGCATTTCCCCATCCAGTCGCCCGCATTTCCCCATCCAGTCGCCCGCATTTCCCCATCCAGTCGCCCGCATTTCCCCATCCAGTCGCCCGCATTTCCCCTTCCAGTCGCCCGCATTTCCCCATCCAGTCGCCCGCATTTCCCCATCCAGTCGCCCGCATTTCCCCATCCAGTCGCCCGCATTTTCCCATCCAGTCGCCCGCATTTCCCCATCCAGTCGCCCGCATTTCCCCATCCAGTCGCCCGCATTTCCCCATCCAGTCGCCCGCATTTTCCCATCCAGTCGCCCGCATTTTCCCATCCAGTCGCCCGCATTTCCCCATCCAGTCGCCCGCATTTCCCCATCCAGTCGCCCGCATTTCCCCATCCAGTCGCCCGCATTTCCCCATCCAGTCGCCCGCATTTTCCCATCCAGTCGCCCGCATTTTCCCATCCAGTCGCCCGCATTTCCCCATCCAGTCGCCCGCATTTCCCCATCCAGTCGCCCGCATTTTCCCATCCAGTCGCCCGCATTTCCCCATCCAGTCGCCCGCATTTTCCCATCCAGTCGCCCGCATTTTCCCATCCAGTCGCCCGCATTTTCCCATCCAGTCGCCCGCATTTCCCCATCCAGTCGCCCGCATTTCCCCATCCAGTCGCCCGCATTTCCCCATCCAGTCGCCCGCATTTTCCCATCCAGTCGCCCGCATTTTCCCATCCAGTCGCCCGCATTTCCCCATCCAGTCGCCCGCATTTCCCCATCCAGTCGCCCGCATTTCCCCATCCAGTCGCCCGCATTTTCCCATCCAGTCGCCCGCATTTTCCCATCCAGTCGCCCGCATTTCCCCATCCAGTCGCCCGCATTTTCCCATCCAGTCGCCCGCATTTCCCCTTCCAGTCGCCCGCATTTCCCCATCCAGTCGCCCGCATTTCCCCATCCAGTCGCCCGCATTTCCCCATCCAGTCGCCCGCATTTCCCCATCCAGTCGCCCGCATTTCCCCATCCAGTCGCCCGCATTTTCCCATCCAGTCGCCCGCATTTCCCCATCCAGTCGCCCGCATTTCCCCATCCAGTCGCCCGCATTTTCCCATCCAGTCGCCCGCATTTTCCCATCCAGTCGCCCGCATTTTCCCATCCAGTCGCCCGCATTTCCCCATCCAGTCGCCCGCATTTCCCCATCCAGTCGCCCGCATTTTCCCATCCAGTCGCCCGCATTTCCCCATCCAGTCGCCCGCATTTCCCCATCCAGTCGCCCGCATTTCCCCATCCAGTCGCCCGCATTTCCCCATCCAGTCGCCCGCATTTTCCCATCCAGTCGCCCGCATTTCCCCATCCAGTCGCCCGCATTTCCCCATCCAGTCGCCCGCATTTCCCCATCCAGTCGCCCGCATTTTCCCATCCAGTCGCCCGCATTTCCCCTTCCAGTCGCCCGCATTTCCCCATCCAGTCGCCCGCATTTCCCCATCCAGTCGCCCGCATTTCCCCATCCAGTCGCCCGCATTTCCCCATCCAGTCGCCCGCATTTCCCCATCCAGTCGCCCGCATTTTCCCATCCAGTCGCCCGCATTTCCCCATCCAGTCGCCCGCATTTCCCCATCCAGTCGCCCGCATTTCCCCATCCAGTCGCCCGCATTTTCCCATCCAGTCGCCCGCATTTCCCCATCCAGTCGCCCGCATTTTCCCATCCAGTCGCCCGCATTTTCCCATCCAGTCGCCCGCATTTTCCCATCCAGTCGCCCGCATTTTCCCATCCAGTCGCCCGCATTTCACCATCCAGTCGCCCGCATTTCCCCATCCAGTCGCCCGCATTTCCCCATCCAGTCGCCCGCATTTCCCCATCCAGTCGCCCGCATTTCCCCATCCAGTCGCCCGCATTTCCCCATCCAGTCGCCCGCATTTCCCCATCCAGTCGCCCGCATTTCCGCATTTCAACCATCCAGTTTCGTGTTTGAAGAAGTGTTTTGAGACGTCTCAAAACACTTCTTCTCTGGCCCCCTTCAACCATCCAGTTTCGTGTTTGAAGAAGTGTTTTGAGACGTCTCAAAACACTTCTTCTCTGGCCCCCTTCAACCATCCAGTTTCGTGTTTGAAGAAGTGTTTTGAGACGTCTCAAAACACTTCTTCTCTGGCCCCCTTCAACCATCCAGTTTCGTGTTTGAAGAAGTGTTTTGAGACGTCTCAAAACACTTCTTCTCTGGCCCCCTTCAACCATCCAGTTTCGTGTTTGAAGAAGTGTTTTGAGACGTCTCAAAACACTTCTTCTCTGGCCCCCTTCAACCATCCAGTTTCGTGTTTGAAGAAGTGTTTTGAGACGTCTCAAAACACTTCTTCTCTGGCCCCCTTCAACCATCCAGTTTCGGCACATCTCATGCACTTTCCGCCATCACTCATCCCATCCCATTTCCCCCCCTCACCTGCTTTCCTCCTGTTCATTCCCATTTCCCCCTTTGCACATCGCTCCGTCGCACATGCCCACTGCCCTTCGTCGCCCACGCTCACTCCTCCCCGTCATGCACTCTCTCTCCACATCCGTCGCGGTCGCCTTCGCCTTCGCGCACTCTCTCCCGTCCCCTTTCACCCTTCTCATCTCCACCCTTTCACCCTTCTCATCTCCACCCTTTCACCCTTCTCATCTCCACCCTTTCACCCTTCTCCCCCCTTTCTCCCCTCAGGCTAAAGTTAGAGCCAGCGCATGCAGCGTACGACAAGGCAGCGTTTAATATCCAGGTGCAACGCCCTCCCTCACCTCCCCATCCCATCCATCATCTCCCCTGCACTCATCTCCCATCGCCTCGCCGCCCGATCCATCACCTCCCCATTCCGCATCTCCCCATCCCTCATCTCCCCGTCCCTCACCTCCCCATCCTTCACCTCCTCATCCCTCATGTCCCCATCCCTCATGTCCCCATGCCTCATCTCCCCATGCCTCATCTCCCCATGCCTCCCCTCCCCAAGCCTTATCTCCCCATCCCTCATCTCCCCTGCCCTCATCTCCCATCGCCTCGCGGACCCATCCATCACCTCCCCATCCCTCACCTCCCCATCCCTCGCATCCCCATCCCTCGCCCACCCATCATTCACCTCCCCATGCCTCCACGCCCCATCCTCCATCTAGACATGAGCAACGAGTCCAGTAATTTACTCCACACGTTTCTTGCTAGGCGTAATGTGCGAGTAACGAGCCTGCATTTTCAAGAAAACTACTCGAACAAGTCGAGTCGAGTGTCTCTCGCGTGTTGACAATTACTTGCAGATTGCTCGTTTTTGAAAACAGCAAAGGTGGTTCTTGGTTCCCACACCTGTTTAGCCCTAGACGAGTGTAGTTGTACTTGTTTCAACTCGGTAATTTCATAACTCTGACAGAGTGAGCGAATAACTCGTTTTAGATCCACAAATAACGAACCTGGATTAGGGGTCAAACTACTCACCCCATCCCCCTTCTCAATCTCACTCGCCTTGCATTCCTCCCATTTCCACGACACATGCTCATGATCATGAGCCTTTCCATGGTCATGTTTACCCGATGCTCACTCACTTTCCCCTCTACACTCACCCCATTTCACCCAGCTCCTTCACTAACCCTCTGCACTCATCCCATTACCCCCTTGCACATTGTCTATCACCCTTGTACGATCTCATTTCATCCGCACCCTTTGTTTCATCCCATTTTCCCTTGTCAATCTCTCCCCTCGTCGCATTGTCGGCATCTCACCTCCCCTACCCATGCCCATTACTCCCTTCTAACCCTCCTTCCCCCTCAAATTTACTCCTTGCTCCACCCTTTCCACTATCACCTCCTTCCCTTACCACCAAGTCTCATCTCAACCTCCCTTCTCCCACCACTTACTCATATTTCAACTCCTCAACCCATACCACTTTCTCTCAGCTCACATCCACTACCCACACCATTTACCCCCAGCTCACATCCTCTACCCATGCCATTTACTCCCATCTCACATCCTCTACCCAAACCGCTTACACCCATCTCACCTCCACTTGCCCTTACCACTTATTCTCATCTCCTATCTCCCTACTACCACATTCACCAAACCACTAACTTCCCCTCCGTTTCCCCTTTACCTCCCAATTTGTGAGGCATCGTGCTCACTCTTCATTCCTCCTTGCCCATGTTTTCGTCATGCATGTGAATTGCACCCCATAAAGATGGCGCAACCTACGACGTCAGAACTCTGTCGCTTGTTTGATCAACGTCACCATACTGTTCAGTTACACCTTCGTGCTCCTGTCTGCTATCTGCGAGTTGGGCTGAGTGTGCTGATGCCGGACACTACTACAGCAACACTATCTGATGTGTTGTCGCTTTACATGCTGGCAGCACCACATGTCACACAGAGATTGCTAAAAGCTGCTATGAATGCAGGTAATGTGAGGGAAATCGTAATACCATCCGTGGTGCCCACTATGTTTCGTACACAAACAAGTCGACGAACATCATGTGTCGTGCACAGTACGTGTGTGGAGCATCTCCACATGACTGGTCTCCCCCCCTTTACGCTTTCTCTCCATCTACTCCCCTCCAAATGTAGGAACCGGGGGCACTTTGGCCGGGAATATGGTAACGTTGCATCTTGATGCGACTGAGAGAGCGTTTTGGAAATGCATGGGTGGGGGGCTTGATGGAGTGGACGATTTGCTCAAACGGCCCGATCGGACTTTGCAAGGAGTGGACTACAACTTTCCACTGTGGGAGTTGGACGAAAATGGAGTGCCAAGGAGAGTCAGAAGTCGGGGTTCGGGCGAGGCTGGAGTTCAGGCTTCGACAAACGTCCAGCCATCTGATGGTGAGAGCCAATTAGCTTTTCCACTATGTTGCAATGAGGGCTGGTATGGAATAAGCAATATAGTATAGAATCTCTAACAAACATAGCCCCGGCTTGGTGTTTCACCACAAATTACAACACATATATTAATACATATTATTGTCAATGCAATTACCAGGTCATGTGTCAACCCCACCTCAAGTAATTGTCGAGGAGAGAGTTAGTGACACCTCTCCTTGTAGCGTGGAACTGGTGAGAGGGACTGCATCGCCGCCCGGTGCACAGCGCTCTCAAGAAGTAGCTGGTGGGGTGGAGAGGGCACATGACATGCGGGATGAGGACGGTGGTGCGGTGCAAATGCTGGGAAACGCGGAAGGGTCTGGAGGGTCTAATACTACCCCGCATTGCAGAACGAGGACTGAACTTGCACGCGACCAGATTGGTCCAGATGAAGAGCCAGACAGGTACAGTTTCATATCTTCAATCCATTCCTGGCTTGTCTCTCTTTGCATATTATTCCTCATCGCTCATTCTCCGCCCCATCTCACCCCATATCCCCTTCCCACCAAGACTCGTCTCACTATCCCTCCCTTCTTGTTGAGAGACGAAGGTGCATGTTTATTCACCTACAACGCCTCGCTAATCATGAAGTACAACAAATATTCATCCCGCCCATCCAGACCCGACGCCCTCAGTGTGACGCGGAAACGAAAATGGCCGCGTGGATGGCCATCCCCTCCGAGCTGGGACGATTTTCCAGGAGATACGGTTTGCTTCCTTGAGCCGCGGGTGTTAGTGTCATTCTTTAGTGGCCGGGCCTTGGGTTGTTGCACACGGGTTGGTTGCAAAGGGGAAATGTTGCTGGAGTCATGGAAACGGGCTTGGGCGTGTATGGGACTGATGTGGTTGTGCAACGTTTGTTCGAAGAGGGTGGAGTTTTGGTCAGGTAGTCGAGAGAGGAATGATTTACCGCCTAGCAAGACCGGACCACGCAGTCCACCAATCATGGGAAAGTTTGTTGGTGCTTTTGCCCTTGCTGGGTTAGGGTACCAGCAGATATGGGAGGTCTGTCGCACTTTGGGCGTGCCAAAGCCAGGTCATGGGACCTATTACAACCTCATGGGAGGGGATGAAGGGTTGTGGGCTGTCATGATCGAGCAAGCCAAGTGCTGTATGGAGCGTGTTCGTGCGACCGTGGGGTGGGGTCCAGATCGCCGAAAGTGGGCGTGTATAGATGCGAGGTTCTCTCAGGTTCGTGAGGCGAAGTGGTGCACTGTATCGTTCATGGATCGCGAAACTAGAAAGATCTTCCACTACAAAAACGCCAAAAGGGAGAGGGACGGACGGAGCTCAGTGGGGCTCGAGAAGATTGCTTTTGACGCCGGTATGGATGAGCTTGCTGCAAGTGGATTTCAGGTGGATGGAATAGTCACGGACGAAGGCAACTGTTACAAAACTGCGGCGCGGGACAGGGGCTTGATGCATCAGAGTGACTGGTGGCATAAGTGTGGTGGGTACATGCGTAGTTTTAGGACAGAGGTATAGGACGCAACGAGGAAAGCGGAGTCTGTGGTGAAGGCCAAATGTTGTGAAGATGTATACGTTATCACAGTAGATAATCTAGTGGCCTGGTCAAATGACAACTCCAGCCAGCGCTTTCATAAGGGGATGGGGAAGAAGAAGCTTGTACAGGATGTGTGCGCCAAGCGTGGAATAGCATTCAAGGACATGGACCCTGCAGATGCCAAGTGGTTGCATCTTGAGCTACAACAAGTGCTGCTGCCTCGTGTTAGTCCCGATGCACAACCGATCGACATAGAAGTGCACAGGGGGTCTATCCCAAACTCAGCGAGCCGAGGTCGTTCGAGCAGTGGTGAGGCTGTTTTTTTTGCTGGGACAGAGGAGGTTCTCCCAGACGGGGCGGTCGCAGTCGACATACAATGTCCGGATGTAGAGGAACTGTGGAGTTACGATGCACACCCAGAATATGGGATACGCCCTGCCTCGCATGCATCATTGGTACTAGTACAGGCGTGGAACGGGGTTGAGGGCATCGACACAGAAGACGCAGATAACGATCAAGGTAATGATGCTCCTTTGTGTGAACTATAACGCTTCCCCTGAGCCACCTTCTGCTACTCGACATCTCATGTGTCGGAACACTCTTTTTATCCCCCTCTTGCTATTCATTGTCAGTGCTCCCAATACTCATTCCCTTTGTTCCATCACAATCTACCCGACTCCATTGTTTGTTCGCCCTTCATAGCCTCATTTATTGTTTTGCAAACATGCCTCCTCTCATGTTTTTGTAAACCCTTGGTACTATGCGCTAATGCAGGGCATGCTCGGTCTCCATTCTCCCCACACTTCCGTGAGCAGGTCAGCAACCGAGGGCCCTGTCAGAGGTGTTGCCCATCAGTGCGAGTGGAGCCACACCCTCGACATCCAGGGTTGCTGAGGGTGTCAACGTGGAGCCAGCCGCGACAGTGGGGAGCCATAGGAGGTGGGGACGACGTGCTCCACGATCACGATCACGGCAAGAGGATGGTGGTGGGAGCAATGGTGATGCTGAGGTACAGGCGAGAGGGAAGGGGGTTAGCGTTGTCGACAGACTTGCCGTGCACTTTTATCATTGCATGGTGCGCTGCGGGGTGATGGCTAAAGAGGGGACCACACGGTCGGCTGAGGATGTGTCAGCTGAGTTATGTCTTGGAGCAGACCACTTAACAGGAGATCATTCTCGATGCGACAGAGGCGGGTCATGTGCACCGAGGTGTGTGACGGAGAATTGGGGTGCGGAGTCTGCTGTATATTTGCCAAACTCTCCGACACATCTAGCCGTGCGCGAGTGGATGGCGAGAAACTGGTGTCCATCTAAGGTTGCCTGCATTGTCGAGGGCGCAACCACCTCAATGAATGAGTCGTTTCATTCTCTCATTATCAAATACACACCAAAACGCATCCGTTTCGACGTGAGTTACGAGCCGCGAGTTGCCATGGCTGCTCTCCATTGGAACCATACCATGGATCGTATCGTGCGTGCCTATATCATCCGTGCGCGGCGTACCACACGAATAAGACGTGGACGGAGGGATCGAGTGCTTGGTCCTATGGACTGGAGTTGGGTTGACAGCATCTTGAGAGAGTGGAGGCGCCCCTGGACAGAATCTCCCGAACCTGATGAAGAGTCCGCCGACATTGGTGGGACTCCGGCGACTCGGGAGATGGAAGAGGCGGCACCAGCTGTGGTGGCCGAGACATCCGGTGGTCCTACACGCAACACAACAAGCACCAACAATCTCGGTCCTCGCCGCAATTTATTTGGTGAGC